TTGACAGTCAGAAACATTCCTATTTCTTAACCTGAACAGATATATTTCAGAGGAGACAGAACACCTCCAGTTAAAAATATGACTTACACTCAGTTTAGTACATTTAGAATCAGCTGTTTCATTATCAGCTGATTATGCAAAGTTTGCAACGCAGGAAAAAATATCAATCAACAATAACCTTCATAACAAAATCTGCTGTAAAGTTGATTGTTTATCTTTTTTCTTTTTGTTTCCCTGTAAACAGCCTACAAAACTAAATGCTCACTTTTGCTCATTTAGAGGCCCATATTATATTAGAAATACACATTTCAGCAGAAGAGGAAGGGCAAATAATACTTATACACTGAAACTGATTTTTATTTTTAGAATTCCACATTTCATGCATATTACATATATATATTCTAACACATGTCATTATTTATATGTATGTATATATATATATAATTTTAATCCAACTATTGCTTTATGCCTTAAGAGAGTGTGGCCCACAAACGCAGGTAAACAGATTTCAAAGTCGCATTTCAAACTTGTATGTCAGCTCACTGTCACACGGGGGCCTGTCAGGCCATTTGTTAAGAACTCAATAAATTTGTCAGTGGAAAGGAGGGGGAAAAAAACTGAATCCAATAAATCATAACATAAACAAATCTAGCCATGGGTTGACAGAGCTGTATTATACTTGGGTCTAATCCTTGGGGATTTGGGATTATCAAGTAGAATCTTTTCCCCCCTCTTCTTTTGATTTTTTCTTTCCTTTTTGATATCCTCGGTAAGACATAATTTTACTCTGTCTGGCAGCTTTACATCAACAGACTTGAGTTTAAGTTATTTTACCATCAAAGTTAATTATACTTGTCATTTAGAACAATTAAGATTTTTTTAACGCTATGAATTTGAACTAAAGGGAATTGTTAAATATAGTTTTGTGATCAGGGGCCCAGGGCCTGCAGGACTCCAGGCAATATCATGGCATGTTTGTTATTATAGTAGTGCTCTGTCTGGCTGTTTGTTGAGTAAAATAAGTACGTACGCCTAATTTTTTAACGGATGAAAGCAAGTCCGAAATGTTGAAACACTGGGACTCAGCAGAGTCAGATTAGATTACAGCCAATTGGTCGCAAATTGCCGACGCTCAAGCCTCCAATAAGCCTCACTTTTGATCCACGACGGTCAGCGGTTCCGTTGACTAAACGAGAAAAGTGCTCTGCCCCTGAAACGTTTCCCAAGCCACTCAGTAATCTCATTAGACATGCATCCATGGAAGAAAAGCGCGTGCTGGCTAAAAGAATGCCATATCAATATCTGTATCGACAATTTTTCGAAGACTTCTTAGTTTGGAAATGACTTGCTGATGCATAATTTTATTTTATTTTTAAATATGTTCGAGAGGAACAAATTGAAGTTTTTTTTGTTTTTTTCCATGCATTAGAGCTTGAGAAAAAAAAGCATCATGGAGAGCCTAGAAAGACTCATTAAAAGATCAAAGTGAGTTAACTATCAAAGTCATCTGGCTCTGCACATTATGTGTTTAGTTCCCCGAGTGTCTCCTTTGAGGATGTGAAGGGGTTCCTCCCATTTTTAACAAGGTATTTTATTTTAAAATGCTTCTCGATGCGCTTTGTTTTGACACACGGAGCTGGAAATTTGAATATTTCGCTCCATGCAAATCTGCGGTGGCGTTAGAAACGTTTTGCATACCAACAAAGAGCCGCATATTTCAGTCCACTAATTTAATTTATTCCCCTTTTGGGCTGAAATGTTTTTTTTTTGTTTAGTTTCTTTTGCATACACGGAGCCTGAGGCTGGGAGCAGAGCAGGTCTGCTGTTGTGGCAGATGTGTGTGATTCCAGATTCAGCTACAAACTGCACAATATCAACGCAACGGATACAAGAAATGTGTCCATATGTAGGCCTGTGTCAGTCCTACCGATCGATTAAAGCGGTTTTAAATTACGTTTTCGACTCAATTGAATTGATTAATAATATTCTTGAAATGACTAACTTTTTGGGTTTCTATATTTATTCGTTTGAGCGTAACTTTCTCAGTGAGTTGAAGCGGCCCATGCAATCAGAAACCATTTTTCATTTAAACAATAACACAGATAACTTTCTTGCTTGCTTATTTTCTTAATTGTTCTAAACTTGCGCCTGTTCTAGTTAAAAGTCCCATTAGAAAAAATCGGATTTGAAAGTTTAGAAAATGTCTCGCTCTATTTTGCGCATTTATTTCCTCTAAACTTTAAGAACAAATTGTGACTTTTTCGCTCGTTTCACTTGATTTTTTTTTTATGTGATGTTAAATAAAGACTCAATTTCCTCACTGTGATAATTGTCCAGTAACCAGAAACCAGAGCGGGCTCGCCATGGGAGCTCCAAACGCGCGTTATTATAATGCTTTCTTACCTTTCCGATGAACGCAACAGTTCTGCTTACTTTAAAGTAAATTGCCTGCTTTGTGCACTGCACACCTGATGCTTAGGGGTTTTCATTTTTCTGCCCCACGGAAGGCGAGGGAGGGTTTTTGTCGTGTAGAGGCTCATTAAAGCCCCGCGGGCTGAAAGTTGGCGGATTGATTTATTGAACGCATGTTTGATGTCCTCATTCACACGGCTGACCTGGCCGGTAACCGCTGAGTGAGGGCCCGGAAAAAAATCCAGGAAAAAAAATCTATTGATTATATTGTATTGACGGTGTTCAGCTCATAATGCTGCTTAGTGTGAAGATAATCCAATATAGCGCGAGGCGGAGGTAATTGACCCCATGCTGAGAGAGGTGCTGGACATAGGCAGAAAACCCAGCCTAAGCCCGGGGAGGATGACTTCATGACAGACTGGTGCGGATTCGTTTAGACGGGTCAAGAGGCCCCCAAGAAAATGATTAAGATTTGAAAGTTCGTTTTAGATAGTACATGTGGCGCATTTTTGTCGCACTTAGATCCCCCTTTTTTTTCCCCTTAAATCTTCCCCTCTGTGCGCGTTTCCCTTCGGCCAGCAGAGGGCAACGCTCCCAGTCTGCTGCTTCTGCTCCAAACTGGGCTACAGGTCATCGGCTGGACGCAGCAGAAATGCTCTCATAAACAGCTCACAGCGAGGGCTTTTTTGGGGCTTTTGGAGGTAAAGGCAGGTTGGAGATTTCCCACCCGGGAAAAAAATAAATAAAAACATGATTAGACTTTTTCGATGCGTCCTGCCTTTAATGCAGGTCATGAGTAGTTGATGAATGTGTTGTTGTGGTTGTAATTGTGGCAGTAGCAGTGGTGTTTGTAGTCATTCACAACCATCCCGAAAAGTCAGTTGAAAATCTAAATATAGCACAGAAAAAAAGCTCGGTTGAATTTTCATAGGCCGCCTAATGTTTCCTGTCAGGCCTTCTGTATCTGTATCTAGCCGCAGTTTTTTTTCTTTGTTCTAATTTCCCCACATTGATAAGCATCTATATCTCTGGCAGGATGACACGCGCGGTCCCAGTAGCAAAGACTGGGATTTCAGACCGGCCTCCGTTACGCCACAGAACTCCTCACCCACATTCATTTCTACAGAGAAACTGTCAAGTCGTTTCTGGATTTATTCCCTTTCTAACCCGTTCATGCGAACGACCTTAGACGTTTGCGTTTAGTATGAAATGCCTTTAATTCTTTCTTATATATTTTAATTGTCCAGTCTGTTGTGCTTTTACACGAAGATTTATTCCTTAAACTGTCAACATTATTATTATTATTATTATTATTATTATTATTATTATTATTATTATTATTATTATTATTATTATTATTATTGTTATTCTGAGCTGCTAAACGGCCGTCTGACCGGAAGGTGTGGGCCTGTCCGGGGAGGCCTGTCCGGGCCGGACAGAGCTGTTATCGCCGCTGATCGCCAGGTGCATCAGCTGAAAAGAGACGGCAGCCTCCACCGGAGACAATACACAAAGAGCCCGTGATGCTTCAAGAAACACACACACAGCACACTCCTATGTGCGCAGCTTCTTTTTACGCACTTATTATCCCCGAAGAAAATCCATCATTTCTTAATAAGTGCTTGATTTTATTATTTTATTTTATTTTATTTTTGTCTCAAATTCTGACCTGAATAATAAAATGGTTCATGACAAACCTAATGACCTTAAAATTCTAATTGAAATTCAATCACTTTCACTTTCAGTTTTTTATGATGATTATTAAAATGGTTATTGTTATTGTTATTATTCGTCCATACCCAGGCCTCTGTAAAATATCCCTTTTCGACACAGTCTCCTTCTGGCTGGTGTGTTATTGGGCTGTGAGGAGCGCAGTGTGCTCTGCTCCAATAGCATCCCAATGGCAGTGAATGGGGAGAGGGAGAAAAAAAAAAGTGTAGCCATGCATGCAGGAGTGGGAGGATCCACTCGCTTCAATCTTGATCTCAGACTTTTGCAGCGACAGGGGCACAAACCAGCCAACCGTCTTTCTTACTTCCAAAGAGTTCCTGTCGGGACATCTTGCACACGCATTCTCCTATCTTTGGATTTGTTGTCAACTTTTGCCCCTCTTTTCCCTCTGCCTCGGAGAGACTGTGAAGTCATTTTTTTCCGGCTCCCTTTCCCTCTCTTCCGTCGGCTTGGGGAGGAGAAGATAAAGCTTCGCTCCTCAAATCATAACAGGTGACTTTTTCAGAGAGTTATCCGCCTTTATAATGTTTGCTGTGTTATTTCCTCCACGCTTCTCTCACGCGCAGACTTAGAACGCCTTCTCCTCTTTTGATTAAAAGTCGGGTATTTCTCCGCTTCTTCTAATTTATCCCCCCTTCCTTTTCCCTTCTCTCTCTCTCTCGAGCTGCGGGTTGTGTGTCACACGGAGCTCAAACGTTTTCAACAGGTTTCTACCCCCCCCCCCCCCCCCCCCCTCCAAAAAAACAACAACAACAACAACAAAATAGGCTAGCCTAAACCTTCTTGTTGTGGACGTTGCAACAGGTCCGGGGCCGCTGGAGCGCGTGTGTGCGGGAGAAGAGTCCGGGACCTGCGTCATGCTGGACGGGATCAAAATCGAGGACCATCCGCTGCGATCAGGACAGGCCACGCTGGGAGTCATGCTCGGTGAGTCTCCCCCCGGCAGCAGAAAGCAGCAGAACAGCAGAACAGCAGCAGCTGTGAGGCCGAGAGCCGCTGCCGTTTCTCTGAATATCTGCGCGCTCGCTCACATCTGCTTTATTTCCTGATCTGCACCATTCGACAGTGCCAAACTGGGAAATGTTTGAGCCTTTTTTGCTGTTATTTTTGTAAATAAATGCGTGCAAATGGAATATATAACATCAGCAGAGTAATCAGGATATTGTTCAGATACAGGCAGGGGACGGTTTAGATTAATGAGGCCTTACTGCGTAATTCTGAAGAAGGAGCGTAAAATTATAGACTTATTAAAAAAAAATAGAATTGAACTGAACTGAACGTGATCAGGGTTTCTTCTGGCGGTCAGTGTGCTGCTCTCTACCATTTCTCAGGCTGTCGGGAGTCTCTGCATTCCTTGGTCCAGGCCCTCTCCCTCTTCTCCTAAACGACCCCATCACCTCTAACGTTTTTTTTTTTTTGTTTCTCCCCTTTTTGCAGGGACTGATTGCCATCACAGATCCGTGTGTGAGGGATGCCAGCGTCCCATCTCCGACCGCTTCCTGATGAGAGTCAACGATTCCTCGTGGCACGAGGAGTGTTTGCAGTGCACCGTGTGTCAACAGCCCCTCACCACCAGCTGTTACTTCAGAGAAAGGAAACTTTACTGCAAACACGACTACCAACAGTAAGCACAATGTGCAGGGAGGAAGCTCCTGTTTTTTCCTTCTATCTTTCTTTTTACCCCCCCTCACCCCTCACCCCCTACACCCCCCCTCTACATTGTTTCAGTTGGTGTGCAGCGATTTGGGAGGAAAAAAATTGCGGGGCATTGTGATGCTTTTGGAGGGCCTGTTGGCCTTCTGTGTGTCTGCAAACACATCTGGAAAGCAATTACGCAGAGTCAGGTTTCCAGTGATTTGGATCTGATTTTGGTTTAAAATAAACGGGGGCGTTTAGACACACTAAAGTCTGTCATTTCATGTTTATTTCCTGCAAGCACGGTGACTAAACCTGAAACTTGATTTACCTTCGTCCAGAGCTCATTCTAATAAATGAGCGCTTGCTTTGGCGGAGCGCGCGCACCGTGGGGTTATTCTCTTTATTCTCTTTTTTCTGGCCTCTCTAACTGTCACGGTAGCCCACGGTGTTTCCACACCTCAGTGCGGGAGATGCCATCCCGCTCTGGGCCGAGAATGTGGAGGCGTGCTCTGTCGGTTTTTATTCCGCTCTGCGTCGCTTTTTTTCTGCCTGAGTCCTGTGGCCTTTTCCTATCAGCTCCACCAACCACTGCACAGAGAAAACCAGCTCTGTTTCTATTTTCACTTCAGCCAAAGCGGCAGTTTAGATTCATTTTTCCGATCAAGCTCCCCCTTTTTTTCTTTCTTTTTTAATTTTTTTTTGTTCTGTAAATATTCCCCTTTTATTGGCTCTAAATATATTAACTGCATTAATTTAATTGCTTGTTGCTCAGTACTTTAATCTTTAGAGGTTGTTTTTTTTTTCTTTTTTCATATGTCGTTTTATTTAGCAAATATATTTTTCTGTTTTGTTTTTATTTTATATTAATGATTTGGTTTTAAGAAAGTGGCTACAGGAGGGCGATGAATAGATTTATGTTTTCATGCGTATTTCACTATAACCTCGAAGTAGATAGTGTGCAAAAACGGCAGCACTATCCAGTTTCAAAACAGCAAAAAATTAAAAAAAAGAAATGAATTGGAGTTCAGTCCGAAAATAATATTTTGTAAACGTCTAAAAAATAGATACATTTGTATATTTATTTGGGTTTGAAATGCAGAGGTGTGATTACAGCACAAGACTTAAATGATTTAATCTTTATAGTTTGTTTGGCCATTTGCTTTCCAATATTCACAGCATCAGAATACATTAAAACAGCAATATTCATATTATAATAACTCAGAGAAAAATGTGTACATTTATAGTTAAGCTTGAATTATTTAAACTAATGTATTTATTTATCAGAAGTTTCCATCTTTAAACTTATTCTAAATTTGAACTATTTTAGGAAATACTGAAGAAACTAAATTTAGTTTGTTTAATTGTTTTATACCATGGAATTGTTTTTTTTTTTGGGGGGGGGGCAGCAATTCTTTGCATGGTGGGATGAATTACTGAACCAAATGACTAAAATGCTCTGATAAACTGGGCAGAGATGGCAGACAGGGAGGAGGAAATAGTGGGGCGAAGTTACCCCGGGTGTAGCGGGGCTGCTGGTTGGCCTGTGAGGACCCCGGGGGTGCCCTCTGTTTCCCATCGCATGAGCGCTTTTCATGCTTGTCACTAAATTTTCAGCTTTTTGTGTCCGGCTTTTTTAACAATTCTACTTCGATTACCGGGACATTATGGCTCTCTGCTAGATACCTTGCAAGCAACAAAGAGTTACATCTATTGCCATGCGTGCCATTCATCCAGCTTTGTGACAGGAGTGTAGTCGGCCGATAACAATGGAAAATTCATAGCAGTAACCAGGGGATACGGGAGTCCCGGCGTCACGGCTCAGAGGTGGCTGGAAGCTGAGACGCTCCGGCAGGGAGAGGGATCTCTTTCTCATGCCTGTTGCAGCCCTGTCCCTTAGCAGCTCCTGAATTAGTTTGATGAGTAGAAACAGAAGAGGACGATGAGACACACACACACAGATAAAGTCAAATTGGATTATATCTGACTGCCAGTCAGTTTTTTTTTTTCTTTTTTATTTCTGTTTCTGATGAGCTTTTTTAGCGACCGGTATTTGGAATCTAAGTTCCCATTTCCCTCTCTTTTGTTTCTCTTTGCTTGGCACTATGAGCAGCAAGTTGAATCCTCTCAAATACGAGTAGCTGCCTCGGCGCCCACCTGCTCTCACGTACTGTTATTTGTCACGTCTTTTAATTCTTATCACCCCCTTTTTTCTAACCCCTTCCTCGGCCGAATTAGCTTGTTGATCCTTTTATCACACCTTCAGAAGCATCCCCACCTTTTTGATGTTTATTTCATTTTTTGATGGGTTACTTAAAGATGTAATTGGCACCTTTTTGACTTTTATGACACCCATTTAAGATGCATTTGTCAGCCCACAAACTGCTTTGGGCTGTGAAGAGAGCTCCAACCCTTACAGAGGTCTTTGTGCCTAATTACATTCCTACAGCAACTGATTCATGCCCCGTAATCAGCCCTCACTAGCTATAATAAATCAACGAATTGGCAAGCAGGCTTTTTTTTTTTTTTTGGGAAAGGTTTAAGTGCAGACGGGGGAAAACAGTTGTCTACTGTGTTATTAGAACTCCTACAAACCCGATTTAACTCATCTTGCTCCCTCCATTCTTATTATATAGTAACAAGATTGTTTTTTATTTGCCTTTGTCTCATTTTGTTTATATTTTTAAGCTAATTTATAATATATGACCCATTTTTGTTTGTATTTGAAGCAAACATTTTTGTAAATCAGTCATGTAGTTGATGGGATCCACAACATCTTAATCGTGGAGGTGATTTACATTTGATACATATTTTAAGAGGAGAGATTTAAAGGACTATGCAGCAGTGGCCTTTGCTGAGAATATTCTGAGCAAGTGTGAAAACATCTGAAGGCACGTCACTAGGGCTGTCAGTTGGACGGCGGCTGTAGCCGTAGAGGAGGAACAAGCTCCAACGAGACGGGCGGTATGCGAAAGGTAGAGTGGAATTACACCATTCCGGGAGAGTTTGCTGTGCCCTGGTGTTTGGAGGTCAATTATACATCATTAGAAAGAGGGAGATCTTTTCCCCACAGGGACCTTTCCTTTAACCAAGCAGATGCTTTGAAGGGAGCGTGTAATAAGGCCTATCACTCCACCGAAGTGTTGGACAACACCCCTGTAATGGACTGCCTTGTTAGAAACTGCCACAGGCTCCAGCTCCAAAACATAACATTTGCTAACTATATTTTACACCGTGCTGCCTGCGCGTTTGGGTCTTGCTGATGCATTCCAAACTGCTTTTTTTTTTTTTTCCTTTTTCATGCTCTGTAAAGTTTAACTGTGTGGCAACATCTTATTTTAGAATGTTTTATTTGTAATTTACCCTAACCCCCCCCCCCCCAACAAAAAAAAAAGAGATCATCAAAAATATTTTTTTTCCCCTTTCAAAATGTCCCAACTCATGTTTTAAAAGCAAAATCGAATTCAGATCACAGCTGAAGGAGCAGGAGAATTACCCAGGATGATGAAGCCGTAAAAGCATAGCTCCCTGAGCCTGTCTGTCCTCCCATGGATTGTGCACGATCCCCCGGTGTGCTGAGAGGTGCTTTTTAGAACGGTTTGGAGTGCCCTCCTGTGAAATTGTTGTTTTTTAATTAGCTGTGCTCTGGACGCTGCCGCAGTGTGTGCCGGATAGATGCTGACGGCTGGGTTTCTGTGTCGGCTCACCTCGTGTGTGTGTGTGTGAGTGTGAGTGTGTGTGTTTTTTTGCTCTCTTTAGGACATTCCCGCATGGTTCTGGTGTTATGTGAACGCTCTTACTCACACTCAGGAGAAAAGAAAAAAAAGAAAAAGAAAAAATAAAAGCAAAGAAAAACACAGGGACATAGTTTATGTTGTCGGCCCAGCTGAGGAGTTTTGCTGTTAATTAAAGACCGTCTTCAATCCTGCCAAAGGATTTCAGAGCCAGGGCTGTGTGTGGCTTCATTTGTGGATCACTTTATCTTATTCGACGGCTGTCTCTTTTCTGTTTTAAATTCCCCCCTCAAAAGTATAAAGAGGTGTCTTTAGTCATTGCTCTCAGGTAGAGAGAGATAAATCAAATGTTAGAAACACAATGCAGGATGATATTGCGTAGCTTGGTGGGACTTTTAGTGCACAGCGAGAGGCTAGCTGAAGCTGGCCCTGTTCCACTGCTAGGAAGTATTGGGTTTTATATCAACATGGCTCGGCCTGTCCCAGAAGCAGACCAGGATGCATCATCTGTCATTTCACGGTTTGCTAAAACAGTCATAACCGTGAAAAGACCTGTCGAAGTGGGTTTATTATGTATCACTGCAACATATTGGGTTTTATTATTTTTTTGTCCCTCCTGGTTCCCATAAGTAGCTTCTTTAAGTGATAAATACATTTTTTTTACATCAGCTATTGAAAAGGCAAATAAAACCTTTTTTAAATCAATTTATATATATATGTATACATATGTATATATATATGAAGAAATGATTAAATGTAGTTAGTAGGATCTATTTTTATAAAGATGTTTGTTTTAGTCTCAGTGATTGGCTGCAGTATGTGGCAGAGGTGCTGGGGGTTAGCAGTGTGGAGCAGCAGTTGGAACACCAAACACTTTGCAGGACTCCATGGTAAGCCACAGAGGCTCAGGCACGGTAATGCCCATCACCACTTTAGAGGCCAGACTGGTGGCGAGGGATGTGGAAAGAGGTCTCGGTGGCTTTGTGTGGGGGTGCTGTTGTGCAAGGGAGGAGAGGTTCTCTGCAGAGGGATCTGCCTGGTGTGCTCACATTACACTGGATGATAGCAGTGGGCTGCAGAGGAACTCAAGCATGCAATTTGTTGGTAGCCACAATTTAACCTCATCTCCTAAAGCCGGCTGTTAGACAGCCAGTGGGACATGTCAGTCAATCGGGAATGCAAATCAGTGACGTTAGAGAAAAAAGCCCTCCGCTCAACACTGCGGTGATTTTCATTACTGGCTCCAAATCCTCAGGCCTTTCGGGTTTATTTTCATAGCATGACGACTCTTCATAACAAAAGACAGGGCGACCGCAAAAGCATCGAACGCGATGTACAAATGAGATTTTAGCTAAATCTGTGAAATACTATAATTGCCTTTGTAGAGTGTAAATTAGAAAGCTGGCGAATACATATGCTGGGCAAACGTTTTTTAAGTTTTCATGTGCCAGCTCACACGTTCATCCGGATGGCAAAAATGTTCAGTGGGTGTGTTTCAGCTGCTCTGCAACCATTCCGTCCAAACGTGATTCACAAACGTGAATCATGGGCTGGCGTTTTTCAATCATTTCTGAGCCTTCGCGCTTTTCCTCACAACATCCTTAAATTTGGAAATACCCCTCCCAGTGCTTTCTTCAGGCGGCTCGGTGGAACGCGCATGAGAAATTGAGACATGGCCTCGTCTGCTGGCTCGCAGCGTGCCTGCTGGCCCCAACTGTGTATATGTGATCCCACTCTGGAATGTTTTTCCAACACGTAGGCTTTTCGCGGATACACTAGAGAGGACTGGCATCATAGTGGCAAGTGCTGCATTCAGACTGTTGTGTGCCCAAGGCTTACTCTCACACTCACGTCACACATTCGAGCTCCACATGCGAATGGGGCTGAGCAGTGTGTTTGTCTACAGACGCCCCGGGTTTTCTGTGAGGGTGTGGGCGCATGCGTATGGACACTTGCTTCCTCTCTGTGCTCCTTTCCTTCTTTGTTTCTAACGTAAGCTTTTTTTTTTCCGCCAGTGCCTTAGATTTACTCCTCGGATTGTTGTCTTGCATTCTTCCACCTGAGCAGAGTTACTGCAAGGCTGTCAAATTCAGTAGACTGGATTGACACGAGTGTAGATTTTAGCACAGATGCATCAAAACTTTTTTTTTTGGGGGCTTTTTTTTTTTTTCCTATCCCCTTTAATCTTCATCAAATGAGATTAGCTCCCAAAATACCAGTATTCCTGCCCAAAGTGACTGACAGAGATTTGCACTTTTATCATTAAGTGTGACACTAAGCTGGTCAGAGCTTTGTCTTGAATGGAGGGTCTGACGGAAACTGGGGCTCCTAATCCTTTTATATGTGTCAGGCCTAGAAAGAGGGAAAGAATAGGGGTTGGGGTGGGATAGGGCTGCAGAATGTCGTGGCCCTTAGTCCCCTCCAGACCCGGCCTCCACAGCCAAGTGAGCATGGGACTCATCTTATGTGGTCTGTGCACTCCGGCAGACACTCTCAGCAGCACAAGCGGACGCGCATATTTTTGCACAAGATGTTTAAATGTTTGCACAGAATCACAAATAAACCCGCTGGTATAAAGATCCGCGCGGTATGTTCACACACTTCCGCACACATTCGCAGCCTAGATACACGACAGTGCGTGTTATTTGGGTGCGTACCTGCTCGTGGGGACTGCAGAACGTGTTTTTAGTCCACGAGTGCATGGGTCGCAGTGGCGGGAGGCTCGGTCTAGGATGAGATTAATAAAGTTTGCCGGTTCCCTGGTCGAGGTCCAAGCATAGGCTTTTGTCTGCGGCTCACATCGGGTTGTGGGGCTTCAGCTCCTTTTGTGTTTGCACCCTTGTGATAATCCAGCTCCAGCGGGAGTCCCCCGGGGCACTTTATTTACTCATTCAACTGTTTGGAAGTCTGTTAGACTTCAGATCAGATGCAGTGAGACCAATGTGATTACTTTAACCAGCACTTGCGGATTCCTGCCCAGCATCTTCTCTCACCCTGAGCTGGTTTGCTCTGCAGGTGGTTAGGAAGGTCCATGCTGGTTATTCTCTCTCAGTTTCTCCTGTATATGGCCCTGATTTGAGTGTCTGACTAAAATTATATGTAATGAAATGGCTACAATAGACACCGAGCCTCTTGTGCTAACACAGCACAGACCCGATCTTATCCTCCTGGATGTGTTTGCTATTTCACTTTGCTTGAGGAAAATAGGCTCTGAACTGGTGGCTTCCTGAATTTTCAAATTTGTCAGGTCTCTATTTCACTACATCATAATTCAGCACCATAGAAAATGTGGTGTCTCAGTGTAAAAACCAACATCCATGTTTTATTGCAAACAATGAAATGGATTTGGTTATCCATCCATCAACACAGACCTAGAGCTATGTATTTGGGGCTAACCCTTATGTTAAACCATTGCAGGCTGTCAGGCTCTCTGAATTTACTCTCCATCCCTTCCCCTTGGCGGGGCCGGGGAATATGGTTGAGATCAGCTGCCAGGACCGGCGTCTACAGCGAGAGCTCTCCAAACTCGCTGTTTAAACCCAGCTGCTGATTGGTGATGGCTGTCTTGGCAAGAAAAACAGCCCCGTATGAAAACAGTACAGATTGGATTTCTGTGCATCTGACTCACTCCTGTCCTCTCTGACCGGCCCCCCCATGGCAAAGCAGCGTGATTTGTGCACGAGGTCCCGCGACCCATGGAAGCTTCAAAAAGCAGCGAGGGGAAATATTTGGATGATCCTGATGGGGGAGTGGAGACGTGGGAGGAAGGCAGAGACGATGGGGGCTTGGTAGGAGCGGGGCTAAGCAGTGTAAGGCAAGGCAGATGTGGAGAATCTGCAGTGCAGCCGCGATGACAGGGGAGTGTGTGTGGAGATGACCGTCCACTTTGGACTCTCAGCCCTCCCACTCAGGCACCACCACCCTCGGTGTCCCCTAGGAAACAGACGCCATGTCCTGCATCAAGACAGTAAAGAAGGCTGAGCTAACTGTTTCACTGCAGGTTTGAAGGAATTGCAATAGATGAGTCATTTTATCATCAGGTACCAAGCCATGATACCGATCGTCTGTACCTCACCCCCCTGCTGTACACCCCCCGATCCCTTCTCTTCTCCCTTTACCTTTCCTCTGCAGGCTGGATATTAATATTTCCCAGAAAGCTGCCACAATATGTCTTCTTGGGAAATTCCACGTCTCCTGAACACTGCAAAATGATCTGGTGTCTATGAGGAGGATGGATAAGGAGATAAAACAGAAAATGTTCAAAGTGTCTTTTGTGTGTATGTGATTTCATAGTGCTGTCTGAATGGAAATATCTATACGGCTGTCTCGGTAAGACGAATGGGTTGCTGCAGGTAAGGGCCAAGTTGTTTGTCCTATTCATCAACATTTTCTTCTCCGGCCTGTTGTAGTGTCACCGAAAATCCCATTAACAAAAATATCTCTCGTAGCCCAAGGCTCGATGCAAAACCCCTACTCATTGATTAAAAACAGACAACGTGTGGCAAAAGCCAATAAGTCTTTGCTTTCATGCTTGTCACACCTCCTCTGGAGAGTAGGTGGGTTGAGTGACCCCCCCGGTTGTCTGTCTGCCTTAGCTCTGGCCCCGCAGGCACAGCCTCACAGGGGGAGCGCTGTCCCGGCCCCGGGCCAGAGTTGTTCCCCCAAAAAAAGAGAGAGGTCCCGTCGTTGTGTGATGTGATCCCAGCTGGAAAGAAAGAAAGCTCTGGCCCTGAGCAGAGGTCAGCGGTGGCCTCTCGGCCTCCCGCGTCCATCACTCGGTTCTCTGAGCGTCTAGAGCAGAACCAGCTAGCGCTGCTTTATCTACCGACACTTTGGCCGCTCTAAGGTTTTTGCTTCTCACGTTATTCTTAGTGCTTTAAGCAGTTAAACCACCCATAGTGTCAAGGCTGTATTCTCTACATGAGGGATTTGTGTCACCCATAAATTTCACTGTCAAAGCACAACAAGGCCATTTTTTATTCTCCCATTTGGAGGTTTTACTCCATGTGTCTTTTTCATTTCTAATGTGAAAGTAAAGACATGTGTGCAGTACCGGTGTGTGTAGCACATTAGCTTGCATGCTGCTGTAGTTGCTGCTGCTACAGTCTGGACTGGCCTGTCAGTTGTGTTTCTTTGGAGACGTCAAAAATGGTTCATGCCACCCAAACCACCAGCCGCTCGCCCCCACCCCTCCATCATCAGTCCAACAGTCCGCTCCTTACGCTCCTTGCTCTCCTATTCCCGGGCCCCAGAATCTGGGCCGTGGCCTGTGGATGAGTGCTACATCCTGGCTGTCAGCACAGGGGTTAGCTGGGGATTGGCCTGTGGTGGAAGTGAAGTATCACGCCCCGTCTGTCAGCTCCTCGTTCCACTTCCTCCCACCCTTCAGTGCGAGCTGCAGCCAGTGACACAAACATACGTCGAGCTGTGACTGAGTCAGATCTCGGACCTGAAAATGAAAGCATCACCCTTTAGAATAGGCATATTCATAGCTCTGCCAATAAAAAGGGGCTGTTTAAGTGCTCGGGTGTTTTGTTTTTAAACAGACCGCAAAAGCTTTGACAGATGGTTTACTATTTCCCCCAGTATTTCATTTCAGGTACTTTTTAACTGTTGCTCGCTGACTTCCGAAGAACAGCCATTCACCCAAAGCGTGTATTTGCATACAGTTACAGCCCCTTTGCAGCCACCGCTGTCTAGAAATACCCACTCCCATTTATCACATTGATAAATGTTTACAAATGTCACATGTGGTATTCTGTAAATGTTACAGGTCATATATTTTCTGCCAAGATTCTTTTTTTCCCTGTGCATTGGCATGGAGCCATACCTTCACTTTGTCTTAGTGCATCCCATCCACATGCACACGCAGGCATATAGATACTTACACACACATGGACACACATCTGTACAGCACATGGCTTCAGACGGTCCTTCACATGTCGGAGAATTTGTGACCATAATCAGATTAATTGGTCCATCTTTCTTTGGAAACATCACATGTACACGTGAAGGCCTCTGGTAGCTTTCACCTGGACGCTGCTTACACTAACCAGAAGCCAGGCAGCAGACGTAGGGTCGGAGGGGTCACAGCACACTGTGGCGTCAGCATTTCGTTGCGGCTTACATTCTAGAAAAAATTGTTGCTGCACTCGCAAACTTTTGTTCTTTTCAAAATTTCTCTCTGTCTCTCTCAGGAGTTCGGATTTATTTTAGCGGCATTTACTTTTGGTTAAATTTGACTCAAAGAAACTTGTTTCTCTGCCCCCCCCCCAACACAAACATGAACATTGGTGCTGCTTGGCAGAAGCCTCAACCTCTTCAAAGGCGATGTCTAAGCACACATGGCCATTGTGAAAAATATTAGAAGTACATTAACCATAATCCTTTTTCACATTCTCCAAGCGGCGCATGGGTTCAGTGCCCCAGTACGCTCCATGTTATTCTTGTCGCCCACAAGTATGTCTATGTGAGGGACTATCTACACACATGCTGCCATTCATGATTTTATAATAGCTTTTAGTCTCACCACAATTTATACATGGGAATAAGTAATGCTCACTGTCTCTCACTCTCATTTTCTGATTTTGCCAACTCCGTTAAAAATATATGTACATCACACTGAGAGTATGTAAGATTTTAAATCATTGTTATGTCCTGCGGGCGTCGTTAATGGCAGAAAACACTGGCTTATAGTGGTGTTATGGGGCAATGATTTCGGGGTGGGAAGCAGCCGTATATGGGAAAAATGTGAGGTAGCTAAAATCATTAAAAACATAAAACTGAGAATCTGATGAGAATCTCACAAAACTAAACAATGTTGAACGTTAAATGAACAGTTCAACACAACTGATTAATGACTCTAGCAACTGTTCAAACAGTAAATTGTCAGAAATAGCTACATGTTTCCCTGAAACATGAAGAGCTGTTGTAGCTCCAACGTGTTTATGTGTTTTCTGTGATTGGTGGATCCATGGTCGCAACCTCCTATTCACCCTTCCCTAAAAACCACCGTCCTCTCCTACCGGTCAGATCCAAAGAAGTGAGCAGATAACATCACACATTTCACAGCAGCTCCACTACAATTCAGATGCTGAATTTATGTGTATCTAATGGTAGAGATGAAGCCCCTGAAAATACAGAAATGCCAAATATAGAATATGAAATCTTAAAAAACACACTAAAACGATACACTAAGAAATTAAATATAATAACGTTTGAAGTCACAGGGTATAGATAGATATGCATGTACATATGGATTAATATGTATAGAGCATTATTATGATTTAGTGCATCTGACAGATGTGTGTGTCTCTCAGAAAAAACGTTTTAAAGCATAGCTTTAGGGGGGAGAAATCTGATATTTAAGCACTCAACCCCTGACTTCTACCCAAAGCTAATGGCTGAAGGAGTTGGCTTTATGAATTTACTTTTGAGTCATTGATCTTATTCAGTTTCAAATATCAGCAAAATGACAATTGTCAAATATAAAACATAAAAGTGGTGTTCGAAAAGCTGTCGGTCATAAACAAAGCAACTTAACCTGCATGTGCTTCTTCGTTATTGTCTAACTAATCCGTCCACATGCTCTGCTTTTTTTGCGGTAAAGCCCACTCTGCTGGCCCATGGGATGAGTGAATCACCCAGCTCTGTCTTTTTCACACATTCTGGCGCTAATAAGCTCTGACACACCCTAAACAACCACCCTCTCAAAGAGTCCGTCTAGTGTGGAGCAGCGGTTTGGTGTCCAGGGGAAGCCTGCGGTTCTGGAGCCAGAGAGGGAGTCATGCCCTGCCGTCCCACTGAGATGACAGGAAGATAAGAAGGAGAGGTGGCCTCTCCACACAAAAACATCCCACCAGGAACTAACCTTACCAGGGGCAGCGATGCAGGGCTTCAGAAGCCGTGTCAAAAGCTATCCCCGATGGAAGAAAATACAGCGATAAAACAACATTCCTTTTCATCAAAATTAGGATTCCTTAATCACTGCTGACTGTTTTTCATCTGGGGACCTTTAGAATACGGTGTTCTTTTTGGTGTCGGGATATCCATATCCACTTTATACTACAACATGCCTCTGTGTGTCACAACTTTGGCTTGATGACATGACTTCTCGAAACCAACAGCCACAGTGAGAAAGGGGGGAGAACGAACTAAGTGTAAGCGACAGACTCTTGGCAGACACGGCCCTTGGAGTTATAACTTAGAAAAACCGCTTAGAGTTTGCAATATTTGAGAAGGCGAAGTGAAAAGGTAGCCATTCCTCCTAGACGATGCGTAATGAGGGAACCGTAGGGAAGGAGAAACAGCGAGCGGTTTCTGGAAGCGGCACTTACACAGGGATCAGCAGCATTAAAAGAGATTTACACCCCATGCTCTTAAACCGTTTTCTTTTGCTGAATGGCTCCTATTTTACAGATATTTCAAGGAAGCAATAAACTGCACTGACAAGCGTCCGAGTGGTTTTGAAACATCCCTCATGGGCCGTAGAGCTCCATCACTAGCGATCACGCCGGCTTGAAACTGTGTCGTTATTCCTGTAGAAGGAAGCCTGTTTTTGTCTGTTGACAGCATCTGGCCTCATCTGGATGTTATGATCAGCCTGTTGTTGTTTATATCAAAGAAATGTTGCGCAACTCACTGTAGTACATCAAGCATTATGCTCTCCCCAAGGGTAAGTCAGTTTAACATTTCTCATGTTGTGAGAGGGGCTTATGCCGCACGGCTTAGGCATACAGACTGTTTTTCTTGAAGGTAAAGTTCTTTTGAAGCTGTCTGCATGGTCCAGAATGAGGCCCTGCACAGTGTAAGATGTCATACTCCCACTGTGCTGACCAACATGCTCTGTGGGCCTTGATGTGCCCATAACATTTAATGGGACTTTGGCAAATGCTAATGGAAACTCTTACTTCGCCCAGTAATCACTTTTCATTCCCTTCTCCATGGTTGCTCTTTTTTTATTCACCATAATTATTCCTTTGCGTCTTTGAAATGTTTAAGTATGGACTGATGACAGAGAGAGAAGAGTGGGGGAAAAATGCATTATCTGCTAATTATTAAGATTAAGGGCGGGATAAATAAACCAGAACCAAAGGGAACATTTGTCTTGAGTAAGGACTGGTTCCCCACGTTCTACTACCCCAGAGCGAGGATGTTTGTAGTCTCCTGTAGAGTGTCCCTGATGGGTTTGATGCTAGGACGTGGCCTGACAAGACACTACAGATCAGGAGGGGGAGGAGGAGAGAGACAGGGGAGGTCATGCCGTGGCACATATACGTCTCAGTGTGGGATGAAGAAACATCTCAACCTCGCGCAGGTTCAAGAAGAAACAGCCTGCTTTTGATTAGTCACTGTGATCTGCAGTGATAAACAATTCCTGTGGTCTCATGCTCACAGAGACATCACAGGCAACAACCGAGTGTTCATGGGTGGTTTGTGTGTTTGCAGCTATGCTTAGAAACACAGAGTTTATGTGCGTGAATTATACTTTTTCTGTTGAAAAGCATTTCTAAAGTTGAGTTCGGAATAATTTACACTGCAAAAAAAGCATTTTTATAAAAAAAATGTCTTGATTTTAATATTTTTATGTGTATACGAGACTGATACATTTTTGTAATTTAATGCCTATAGTGACCTCAGGTCAAAAGATGAAGTTTTTCCCTTAAATCTAAACTACTGGAACATGATCAAAAGTTAACAAAATACATGAAAGACACATAAAACCCGTTCATACCATATCTATGGCTCATAAGAGTCCAGATCTACAACCGGGGGGGTGATGGAGGAGTTTTAAACTGCTCACTCACAGAGTCTGTTGCCCTCTTTGCCCTTGCTGGTAACTGGCAACTTTATCTGTTGCTGTACTTCCGCGCAGATGCCTGGCATCGAGCCGCGGGGCGATAAAAACGTCTTCAGGAGGAACGTGTTTATGGTGAGGATCCATAAGGTTAGCAGGATCAAAGCTTTGTTGAAAGGACATTAAGCACAGACATGATAAACAAAACAGTCAGATAGCCATACAATTGGATTTATGATAACTAGAAAAACCGTGTCAGAGATTTCTGCCAGGTCATTTTTTATTGTAGTGTAAAAATGGCCCCACGTCCAAAAAACCCAGGTGGACTTGGGGCCATTAACTAAGTTGTGTAAAAAGAACAATATAAGCAACCAGGGGAAAGAGGAACAGGGGATTTTTTTTGTAGATCCTCCTTTTACCGCATAAAGTTGCTTCTGTGTTATTTTGTCCCAAACTGAAATGAGAAAAACGGCCCAACTTTTTTATATTCAGTGAATTTCATGGTGTGTTTGGAAATACTCAAAAGCCTGTTTATCTTAGCAGGGGAAAAGCCGTGTTCACGACCGGGCTGTTTCTGTTGCTCATCGATGGGAGAAGTTTTATTGAGTTGACTGTTTTAGCATTTGGTATTTTCATAAATGACCCCCTTCTACTAAATCCCCCATACTAACCCAGACTTTAGTACCAAATTACTCCGAGGTTGGATTTAATAAATGCGCTTTACCTTTTTAGGCTGTGGCAGACCTGTATTAAGCTTTTGTTTTTGTCTTGTTTTTTTCATATGCTCACGTTAAAACCATGTTTTGGAGTTTGGCTTCTTTATGAGCTCTTGGTGCGTTGCAAAAAAAGGCATGCTTTGTGGATGTCTTCTGTGGCAGCTTCTATCCAACTGTTTTCTGTCAGAGGCAGGAATGAGAATGGCGTACCACACCAGCTTGCAGTTCCCACCCTGCCCAGTCATTTGCTTGCGGCTAAAACTTTAAGTGGGAATTATTGCTGCAGAGATAAGTATGGAGATAAGCCGGTCTTTGCCAGCAAGATGTATGAGGTGTCTGGACATGGCGAGAGGTGCACCTGACCTGGAAATGAATGGTGTGAAGGTGCAAGTGCAGCACATGAAACCCCTTATTCATCAGGTACTGGTTGTGCAACCTCCCGATCATGAAACAGATATTAGATAGCGAAGAATTGTTATTATTAGAGCACTTGGAACATTTAATCCAGTGTTTGAGTTCTTGTTGGCACTACTTTTACGTTATTAAAATTGTCTGTATTGCATTAAAATGCTGTATGTACATACACACATATATGTATATGTGTGTTTGTATTATAGTGCCCCCCCATTATTATTGCAAACAGAAATTCACATTTACATTCATAGTGTAACTAATAATAAATTAAACAAATAGAATTCAGAGAATTCTTTCCTTTTTTAAAATTTTTTGTTTTTTATTTAGAAAAAAGGGATTTGGACGCTGCATCTTTAAAGTGTGTAGGAGACACATTCCTCCTACTTGGTATGTTAATTCACAGCTCCAGGGTCTGTGCTGACCTTCGCTCTTTGAAGTTTCTCTCCGTGCCATCTTCTCTCCACCAGGTGAACTTGTGGCCTCTCGGCATTTTTATTTATTAGACAATCCTTCACGTGTAAAAGATGATAAAGTTGACATGTTACAGGCAGCCGCTGCTTTCGCGCATCGAGGCGAGTGCTTTGTTTAACACCACAGCAAATTTGAGCTTTAAATTTCACATGCCAGAGGAGCTTACTTTCTGGATGGTTGCCAAGAGAAGACAAACCAGACGACTGTGATCTTACAGGCACAGTCGGTGTAGCAAAGTACTGCGGCATGACGATGTATTTACCTTCCTCTGTTACTTTTTAGATTTTTCAAATCCCTGCAATCCGTTTGTGTCCTCTGTGCGCGGCACAATCCTGCCAGTTATCTACCTGGAAACATTAGCTCTCCTCTGCCACAACTGCTCTTTTTCTTCTCATCTCAGCTCTGCGCTGAAAATCGACTTCAGCAGCCCGCTGGAGTCCAAAAAGGTCAGCCTCTGCTGTGATTGAGGAGAGTAGTGATGGTTTGAACCCGGCACACAAAGAGTTATAGGTGGTCGGTCAGCTTGTCAGTCAGGTTGGTGGGTTTTTTAATCATTTCATCTTCGCTGGGGGGCTCTCCTGAGACCCCTGCAATGTTTAGCAGTCTGTGGCTCTGGACCCCGGGGCTCGTCTAAGCCCTGCCTGTATCCGGGCTGCCATTATTAGCTCTGCTCTCCAGAGCACGCCGCTCATCTCTCTCCAGAGAGGGCCGCTGAGAAATGAAGCTCGCTGGCTGGGCACGGCAGCAGAGGGGCCAATAGCCCGACGTGGAACAGTAATTACTCCATTGATATTCCTCACACAATAACACTGTCATCTCTCATTTGCATAACCTCGCTCAGCTCGCAACGGCAGATGAATGAACACGATCTTGTCAGGAAGCGGCGAGGGTTCAAATGCGTTCAGGCTCGAGGGTTTTTCTCCCGATTTTGGGTGCCAGTTATGTTTAAGAAAATTGATTAACTAATTATGGCATTCTTTGCTTAGTTAAAAGGGCAAACTACCACCCTACCGTTCTGTGTTGACATGACTTTGTGGCTCAGCTGTCTTTATGGCATTAGGATCTATACAGTAAAATGGAGAGAGAGGGTTTGCAACAGTGATGGTGTACGTGTGAGTCTGCTGTAGAGAATGGGAGTGTGTTGATAGGGTGGGGTGTCAGTGGATGTCATAGGGCCCTGTCTCAGTCCTTGGTTAATAGCCATTGGTCATAGGCTGTCTCCCCTTTATTTCTTTTGCTCTCCTGCTCTATCCTCCCAGGTCTCCCACTAGAGCAGCGCCCTCAGGCACAGCATCATTTATTGCTGTCAGGAGTCACTGCGGAGGGGGCCGGGGGGGCGGGGGGGGCGGGGGGGGGGGGGGGGTTGTAGGAGGAGGGGAGGCAGAGAGAAGATGTGCTGGAGAGAGAAGTCAGTGGAGGCAATGGGAAGAGGCAGGCACGCTAGACTGTCAAATCTCAGCCGTTGAATATTTAATGGAGCCTGGAGTGTTTATTTAGTTAGCCTGTCGATTTTTACCGCTCTGTCAATAGAAGCTCCCGTGTAGCCTGCTGATGATCTTTAGTGTCTCATCCCCCAGGAGAGGCCAAGCACTAAATGCAATTATGGATTTTCCTGCACCGCAATGTGTTTGATATTTTTACTGATCTAATTTGCAATCTGGTAGTTTATTGTTTGGCATTTTAGTGGCGCTCAAGTGGCGAGGCAAATTTGATTTCCCCTCATAATTCTTTATAACTTCATTAATGCTGTTAGCACATTGGCACAGATCTTAAATAAAGCTAGAGAATCATTCCATGCATGAATGCATTCCTCATTTTATTGTCTCCATGCCCCATTCTTTTTACTGATTCTGGTTCTAATTAAAAATCATCCTACTGGTGTACTGTCTTATGTGAAATATGAAATCATAATCGGATTTGAATGGCTCCCTTCATAGGGGCTTGTGTATTCAAGCTTATGCCCAGCTCTGTTGTGGGCAAAGCAAAACAACTTCCTTTCAGTGGCATTCAGCATCTTCAGAGACAAATGAGGGTATTAGCCACAGAGCAACAAACGTAACAGAGGCAAAATAATGCGGGTGATTGTCTCCCAGAGACAGTGCGGTTCCACGTGTTTCTGTACAGCCGTAGGATTTGCAGCCCTATGACGGATGTGTTAGTTAGAGGCGCAGCATTAGCCGTAATGCTGTTAGCATGTAGCTGTGTGAGTGATGTGCTAGTTAGATGCCCAGCAGTAGAGCTAATGGTGTTAGCGTGTTGAGCCTTCAGAGGGATGCAATCGGTTAGGCTGTGATAGATGAGTGTCGTTCTGCAGAGGCCTGTAAGCCTCCTCATTCGCAGGGCTGTCAGCTCCTTAAGTGGACGTGCACAATTAGCGCTGAAATCAGAGACTGCTTAATCTGATAGTGGTCTTAACATTCAATGGGAAAAATGACTCATTTAGCCTTTGGTGAGTGAGTGATGGCCACTATAAAAGCAAGGCTCAAAGCTTCGGAAAAGAGAGGCTGCTGATACACATCTTTCTCATTCTGAATTCCTCAAAATGTCCCAAAAAAATAGTGTTTCACTCAAACCTGCAGCACAACTCGCTGTCCTCCTCAAATAAAAAATGAAAGGACTAAATCGATCTGTCATCACTCCAGTTCTTTGCTCTGGAATGAATGACAGACGCTGTCATATCTCGTAGAATAGAAAAACACACATTCCACTTCAGGGGTAATGAATAGGACACATGTTTATCTCAAAACACACTTAAGCGTACGACCTGTTCACACATCTTTTAGTTTCCAAAACAAACATAAGAAATATCAAAGGCAGAGAAGCTTTATCTGTATGATTCACTTCACCTCTACAGAACCTGTTCACACTTGGCCCTGCGCTGTGCACACACACATAGCTGTCATAAGCAGTCTGATTATCAGCTTAGACTGTGATGAAAGAAACCACAAATTAGGGTTTCATGCATTACCTTATTCAGTTAGTCTTCCGTAATTTCAGTATCAGTTAACAGAGGTGTTAAAATAGAGCTTCATTTGAAAAAAAATCCCTCTGTAAAGTGAGAACCGTCAACTGTCAAATCTTCTGCAACTTTTGTCCTTCTCTGTTTTTTCACTCGCAGTTTAAAAAAACACAGACTCTCTCGGCCACTCTAAATCACATAAGCTCACATGAGAAATGTGCACGCTAGAGCTACGCATTAAAATTCATTGTCCTTATCAGCTGAGATGAGACGGAGAGCGAAGCTGAGGAGGATTTCTCTCTGAGTAGAAAATGTCCTTTTTCTGTAATAGTTTATGATTCATCCCTCCACCTTTGACTAAATAAAGAGGGATGACAATTAGAGCAAGCAATGGGAGTAGAAATCAAAGGGGCTGAGATTCTCCTTGGCAGGGTGAGACCTGTCTAAGAGTGCTCCCAGCAAACAGGATCCAGATGTCAAAGTCTGTGCCGCCATGGACTGCAGCTGCTCCTGCCACAGCCGCACAACAGCCTCTTTCTGCCAGCGAGCCAGGCGGCAGCCCTCCAACCTACCTCTCAGCCTCGTGCGAGCGAGACAGGAGCCTCTCCTGGTGAGAGCCTGGGACAGAGACCCCCACGCCAAATGAAAGAATTCCAGCCCACGGCCCTCGGCAGAGCTCGACGCTGAGAAGTATAATTTCTTAGCACTGGGATTTATCTACGCATCGGTTTGTGTTTCTATTCCATCTTTGTCTCCATTCATCTTTTAGTGTGTTTCCCGACTCGCTGTGCATGTAGGATAAGCCGTTTAGAGCTCAAAAAGACATTAACAGGAGTATGACAAATGCGTTATAATTTAAGATTGTTATTAAAACAGACTCAATTGATTTATTTTTTTGTGCCATATGTCTGTAGGCGGATGGAAAGAGAGAACGGAGTCAAGGGGCCGAACGTTGTCGCTCATCACCACGACTGAATCAATGGCCCTGTGTGGCAGAGAAAAGGCCAGCAGAGCGCCATTGATATGTTTAACAAATTATCACTGATGACGGCAGGTGTGATTGTGCGGGCAGCTCTGGGGTCAGCTCGTCATATGGTGGCTAACAGACACGATATTGCTGCGTGTCCTGATCTCTCCATTCCCTCACAATGGCATTAGGGGCACCCCAGGGAAATAAAGAGTCCCACTCCCCGATCCCCAGTGCTCTTCAAATTAACTCCCCAGAAGGTTAAGCTCCCTGATTCATAATTATTCAAGCCCACCGCTCCAGCCACCAGAAGCCCTCTCCACATCCACTCCTCTCTTTTACTCTTCCTGCCACTTCTCCTGAGTGGCACTTGGCTTTTTGTGGGAAATCCCAGGAATTAGATTAACTAAGCCTGACCTGTGAATGAACACCCAGATGACGGGAGCGGGATTGGACTTGATCTCTGCCTGTCTAGCTGTCTCTCTATTCAATCTAGCTGTCTGTCTCTCATATCGTGTGTTATTGCTTGTGATCGTCCCTATGGATAAGACATTTTCAGCCGTGGCAGTTATTCCGCAATTGCATATATGGGCCTCAGAGGAGCAGCCAGTGTCAAGATTAGGACTCACTTGCATGGGCATGATTTGAATGATGCGAGATGCGATTGGCCTTCAGCTCTCCCTTGGTGGGATTCTGACAGGCTCAGCACTGGTCTTCTCATTACACGAGTGCCAGCACGGAGAACAAAACAAAGCGGCTGTACGGGAAGGATCAAGGGCGAGTCTGTCCACAAACTGCACATGCAGTGCGGACGGTAAAAAGAACAGTCGGGCTATTTCCCAATATTGGAGCGTTCGATATTAAGAGGAATCCACGTGATTGGAAACAACGAACTCGCTCACAGAGAAACTACTTCTGAAAGCGGATTCATTTCATGTGTAACGCACACGATTATCCTAGCTTCAATGAAACCCCTTTTGAACGGGACCGCCCCAAAAGATAAAAAACATGAATCTAGCATAAGTGGTTTGATTATCAGGGGTGTAAAGGCCTTATTAATATCTTGTTGGATTATCAGCCATTCGTAATTGTCACAGTTTTCAAACAGCGTATATCTTTTGTGGGGGGACCTTGTGCCTCTGTAGTCAATTGGGTTCCTCAGGAGGAAGAAATAATGTAATGAGGGACCACTCCGACTTAGGGCCAGGGCTCTTTTCTCTACTATCACATAATTAATCTGATTCTAGGCCTCATCATGTCATGACAGATGCGTTTGTGTTTGGTGCATAATGGTGACGAGTTCTGGGCTTCCCACATGTATCTGCTTTGGAAGCGGTCAGGAAGCCCATTCCTTTACAAGCTATAGAGGCTTATGTACAAAACAACACTCCCTTTGGACCCTATTAGGAGACAAAGAGAAACACACACTTCTCAAGCAGGTACCCTAATAGTATGTCAGCAATTTAGATAATGAGTGGGGGGGAGATAAACTAAAGTGTGTATTACAGGTAATTGGATCTGCAGTGTGTTGGCTACCTAAGCATCGACAGCGCATTGTGTTTTGGTTTTCCTGCTTACAAAGGCCACTAAGAGATAGGCTGCCAATGCCAATGATTCTACTGCTTTCCAGCATGGGCAATGCTGGTGGCTGATTTGAGATACTTAAGCTGTCTAAATCCACAAACATCATCTGAGCTTCAAGCAGATCAGACCTTGGAAATCCCACTCTGGACAGCTCTGACTCCGCACTATTTTCCCCACCTTCTCCATTTAGTCGGAGGATGACAAACACAACACTAGTAGGCATCCAAATGATCAAACTGAGAGTATTTCTCCTGTTTTCTTTGGGGTGAAGCCACGAAAAGTTGGAGCCATAATGAGAGTTGTCAAGCTGGAGAAGTGAAGCAGGCTGTAGAAGCAACACAAAGGTGCCTTCGGGGGCCTGGTGGGCTGAATCTCCTTGGCCTTTAAAGAGATTACCTTGGAAGTGTAAGAAGCAGGTCTACCCAGAAGAATTAGGGAGAGATAGACCAACCAGCCCATTACCAATACTGCAGGGTACCTTCACAAGCTTCATTAATAATCTGATGATGAATCACTACTTCAATTGGACCTTTATAGCTGTTACCTAATCCCTACTCCCATCTTCTCACCTCCGGTCTTAATGGGCAGGTAGTTTGTTTTTATTTCTCGCAATAATAATTTATTTAATTGATTAAGTTAACTTATTTCATAACGGGTGGTTTAGATAAATTGGGATAATGTGATGCTAATGTGATGACTCTTTACAGAGACATTTCTTTCAATCAAAATGGTTAATTCTGTCAATGTTTGGATAAGTCCATATGATTCAAAGTGGTCCAGGTTTTAGAACTAAACACAGGGTCAGATTTCTCCCACTCTTAATTAGGTTAGGGATGGTGTAATTAAATCAAATTCATTATCCTCAGCTCTAGAAATCAAGAGGCTCTATTGGAAATAAGGTTAAGCTCCCCCTCATCCATCATGGCTTAACTAACCAATTTACAGGCCAGCCGTTTGCATGAGGCATTATTACCTTGTCATAAACACTTACCTTTAAAATCTTTGAATCAAGCCGTGATATGCTAAGCTTTTATCACATTAGTTTGTGCTTCTGTGTCAGCCTCTTTCTGCCTAAGACAAAGTGGGTCCCAAATAATTATATTAGCCACATAAGGCAGAGACAGTGCAAACGACTGCTATTTAAATCCGGTTTATAATTCTGTATAATTAAGATGAAACACAGTACCTCGCGCTGAAGAGGGGCTAAGGGCTTTTTTCCGCAGTAAACAATGAAAAACAAAGCCGGTAGCACCATTTATAAGGCTGCTTTTAAAACAGCTGAAGAGTCACCCTACAGTATCACCTTTATCTGAAAAGAATTCCAGCTTTTCCATTTCTGTGGCTGCGTGCTAAGTCTTAGTATCACTTACACCCGGCCACAGTCTCATTCCTTGCAGCTGCGAGTCTCTCCGCATCCTTTGTCTAGGAAGCATAAAAAGCCACCATCGCGATTATTCAGTTCAACTGATCTGTGCGAGCAGATGAGCCATTCATCATAGGACTTGCCTTTGATATTACTGATGCCAAAAATGATTACAATTCTCGTTTAATAAACTGCCACGGCAGTTTCAAAGTTCATATCTTGGCATATTTACATCTGATTAACACGGGTTTAACATGTGAATCGTATCCATGGATGTGAGAATGCAGATGCTTCCAATTTACAATGGCGAACCATAGGGCCACAAGTCCTTTAAATGCGCTCAGTAATGGAGCCATATTCTGAAACACATGAGGCCTGTCCTCTATTCTGTGTTGGAAAGTGAATTAGTAAGCTCCATTCTGAAGCTGGTGATAGAAATGGGCCGAGAGCAGTGATTTGTTGGCAGCGTATATTACAGCCCACGGTCAGGGAGGGAGGGATCACAGAGGCGTGTGTGTGAGGGATAGGACAAGGGGCCTTATCACTCAGTGTTTACTCACAGTAAATTGAGTTGAAATAATAGTCTTTCTCTGAGGCCAAACAATGGAGCAAGCTGCAGTCTGAGGGCCAGGGCTGGTGCAGAGCTGGCCCGCGCCACTTCAAAATGAAAGGCCGAGCCCGGGGCCATGTGGAGGAGGCACGGCGGGGGGTGGGGGGTGGTGTCCTTTATGCGGACGGCTACACCAGTCGCGGAGCAGACACCCCTCTGACAGGCACCTGTGCGGGACAACGGGGAGAGAGAGGAGCGTGGAGCGTGGAGGGGAGGAGTGGAGTGATGAGGCCTCGGGGTTCTGTCATTAGGTTGATGGTGGAAAGGAAGATGACTGCCCCGGGGACAGAGATACGACAGGTCTCGATGGGACAGCGGCCGCGACCTCTCGCTCCCCTGGGTGTTCACGTGGACTGGTGGGACGTGTCAGTCTGTTAGCCCCCCCGCCCCCCCCCCCTCCCTCGCCTCCTGCTGTCATAACCTCCAGCTATGGGCGAGCTTTAGTTGTCTAACCTGCAGAGAGGCAGAGTGTGTAAGCCAGAGGGAGGCACAGAGAGAGCATATCCATATAGCGCGCGGGCCCTCCTATGCCATTGTTTTATGCGTGTGTGTGTGCTTCAGCTGCACCTCAGCTCTGCCGTTTCCCCTCCATTTATCATTCTGCCGCATAAAGTGCTGCCACGGCATTATAGAAACAGCTGCTTTTTTCAGACAGCCAAAGAGAATGGGCTGCTCCCCAGCACACAAAGACACTCCTGGACTTAAAGAGAGTGTTAAATTGGCGGGTGAATGCAAACCTTTTTATCCTCGCTGAGAGGGCTGACCACGGGTGTCACTGCGGCGAGAGACATTGTCATCACGTCTGAAGGCAAATAAGAATCCATATCCACGGAGTCATTTGTACAAAGGGGCGCAGGGGCACCAGCGAGACCGGCCTTGTTCACGCCTAAATATGCATAACTACAGCTGCTGCACATCACGGCCTCTTGAGAATTTATATCGGGGCTATTTAACCAGGCCCTAAATGCACGAATCGTCCGAGTCGAGGCATTTGTGTGTAACCCCGTGCACTTCGGCACAATACAGTGTCAGTTTATTGAGTCCGGAGACAAGAGAAGAAAACAAACCGTGTCAGCGCTCTGTTAGAGATCATAATGCAGTCACTGAAGGGTTGTGGTTAAGGCCACTGAGCTGACTCAAGGTAAGCGCCGCGGGGCCATGCAGATACACTGCGAGTCGGTTTGAGAGGAGATAGAGCAGACGTGCCGTGCCATGCTTCGCCATTCCACTCCGAGCCTTTAAGGGTCCACGTGGAGAAAAGGGAATTTTGTCAAACCTGTTCTCTTCCAGCTGGAGAGATGAGATTTTACACTCCAGCAACCAGATGACATCGAGAAATGCCGAGTGTGTCTGGGTCTGTGTGTGTGGGTGTGTGGGAAAGCAAAGGGAAAGAGCAGAAAGGGCATCAGACAACTCCTCTGCCAGACCTCCTGGGGCAAAATGCATGCTTGAATACTTCAGGACTTGATCAAAATAGTTTCACTGTAACTTTAGCTGCAACAACCGAGGGAGAATTTCCCTTTCAAGATTAAGCACACAAACACCCGCATACACAATGCAGGTTGAAGCAAGTATACAGACAATTCAATTATTGTTCTTTTAGAGTAAAATAACACAAAGACAACACTGAGTCTTTGACTGTGGAGAACTACAAACAGAGAAACCACAAATCCTGCAAGTATAAACGTGTCTGGGTTGAGCTGTGATGAAGGATTGGCCCTTAAGAAATACAAGTTTTTATTTTTTTCTAAACATGTTCAAAATCTCCTGCAGGTAAAAGTCGCATGTTTATGTAAGAGATAAATAGCCTTTGTCAGTGCTGTACCTGTTTTATTATTCAAGCGTGAGCAGAATTCCACCGTTTTAGCTGTTCAGTTTGATGATATATCTTTTTTATGTCAGGCTCCCTTTTTGTTATAGATTAGTTTTATATTTTATTCTAAGTGTCACACCCTCACTTCTCAAATAGGAGTTATTTTATGTAATTTGAATTACATGAAACATGCCTGATGTATGTGCCCTATCAGAGCTGAGAACTGTGTCATATATCTCCAAACTCTCTCAAATCTTCAGGTCAAAGGTAATTGAATTCATCCTCATAGCACATTCTTTAATCCATCTTTATCCACATATCCATTTGTCTAGTTCATCACTTTTATATCTGACACCTTTGGCCAGACCAGGAGCTCGTAAGTCAAACCAATTGGAAGGGAACATATATTTAAAAAAGGATGATTCAGGCTGACCTTTAAGCTCCCTGGAATTTGTAGGTGGTCTCAATAATGTTACTCATGGTCTTTAGTGAAACAGCAGGTTTTTGGTTTGCTCTGCGGTGTGTGTGCGCCCCTCTGTCTGTTTGACACATTCCAACACTGCACCCCTCTCCACGGCTCCCAACTACCAGCCCGTCACCATGGTTACAACCATACATCCATGCCAGCTCTTCACACTAAAAGACATATTTGTTTGGCTAGTGTAGCAACGTTCCTGAGTAAGAAACAGGGCTTTTTAGCATAACACCTGCTAATCTTGGGATTTAGTTCTTTGAGGGTGATTGTTGATCAGATATTCAAATATATTATTTGGATGCTAAGCCGATTGTTAATCCCTGGCCCCTGGGTCTTAAAGCATCCTGTCTTTCAATAACACTGTTTATTTTTCATTTGCTGTCTCCTTTTCATTTTCTTGTCAATGCCCCCCCTCTGCATATTTAGCGCTGTTGTCTGTTACTTCAAGGGATGGAGGTTTGTCTTTTAAAGGATGCAACAATTTCATACCATGAATGATTTAGATGTTCCTAGAGAGACAGATTATCAGACGGATTGGTATCAGTCATTCGTATTAAAAATTAAGGTAGCTGTCGGGGTTTCTCGAGGTATCAGTCAGTTGATCTATCTTGTGATTTTCCACTCAGTTTGGACTAATTATATTTTAATTCGAGTCTAGACAGCTTTATTTCAGTGGTGACACCTTGGGTTATTGTTCCAGAAGACATCCTCTCTCAGACAACAGAAACAAAACATTGATCATTCACATTGAGGTGTTTATTTTACGGAATTTGCTGCCTCTACATTCATGTACCTCAACACGTATTTAACCAGGATGAATTGCACGTAAAGTTGGATGAGACATCCGATTTAATGAAGGATTCTCACGGTGACAAGTCTTTAAGAAAGCTCATTTAAAAGTATCTTTTAGCAAGTTAGTTTTCATAAAATACAGCAGTCTTATGTGTGTTAATGTGAGTATGAATACTGTAATATGTATGTGTTTAAATTTACTCTGCTCATCTGTGCCTTTCTGGCACCCCTCAAGCTTTACTGTTTGTCTTCTTTTCTCTGCATTTCTTGGCTATTTTCCGAGATGTTATCTGGATACTTATATATCTGCGTGGCTGACTGTTAGCAAGTACAGGAGATGAGTGGGCGGCCAATCTGGTTTTTCTTTAAATTATGTTTAAGTTTGGATAAATAAATGCCAAGAAAAAAGAAAGAGATAATGAAAGACAGACCATAGCAAAACATCTACATCCGTGTAAAAACCGTGGCTGCTTATTGACCTTTCTGAGTAGCTAACATGACTCACAATGCTGTCTCTATGTGCCTCTCGGTGTTTTTTCACTATCTCCTATGATGCTGGCTTTTGTCTTTGTTAAGACACAGACTGGGAGAATCAAGGGCAGAAAGATCACAAACACATGGATCCAGATCTTGTGAACAACGTCTAATTCCTGCTTGCCTCGCATTCTGTCCCCCCAAACTAATTTTGGGCTTAGACTGAATCTCTGTTAAGTAAACACAGCCCCCTCATCCAACAATCCTCAGTCACAAGGATCTCCAGATCATCTCTTCCCATTAAAACCTGAGCAAACACTTTACTTCACACCAATATGCTAAAGATTGGAGGAAGAGAAAAAGGGGAAACACACAAGGCCTTTTTGAAGACTCTCCCAGATTGTCTCTCTATCTCCTGCTCCACTCTTTAATCCAGTATCTTTCAGCGCTGGTAAACTCCTCAAGATGGACGTTGCTTGGTTGAGGGTAGAAAGGGGTCAAGCTCCATTGGCCTCTGCACAGAGCTGTGGAATTTTTCATTAGTGCACAGCTGGGTCACAAGTGGCTCCAAAGCCGTCTTAATATTGTGTAGGCCCACAGATTAGGGAGCGGAGAAAAGAAGCCAAAGTGTGATGCTCTCCTCCAGACCCTGTCTTTGCATATTTGCAGACTTGTGCTTTAGAACACCTCATATTACTGTTTGTTTTATTTCTTAGACCCAGAACCTTTGGGTCAATAGTAATTATAAAGCCCTCCAATCCAAATGTTGTTTTTTTAACTATTCCTGCGCTGAATCAGTAAGATGAGTCCATTTATTTTCTTACAATAAAGAAAGTAAAGCATCTAAGAGAAGGACGAAGCCGTAACTAGTCCACGATTTAATATAATCTCTCATAGGAAGTCAAATCATATTTGTTTGCATGAGTGCAAAAGTAGTGCAACGATTAGAACTTGTTGTAACTGCTGCATCAATCTCCATTTAAAAAAAATAAAAAATGTCCACGTATGGGATGTTTTCGCTAGACTTAGATCCTGAAACATGCGGGAGCTGCTACACTTGATTTCATAGGTTTAATTAGCTCAAAGTCTCTCGTCAGCTGCAGGCTCTGCCTGGCATCATTCATAAAAGCTGTAGGAAGGAGAGCCACCTTGACAATTACTTCTTGTTTTTGTACTCACAGGAAAGGTGAAGGACAGTGCAAATGTATCATACCGGTATTGTGAGTCCATGTCCTCCTACGGGTTGTTGGTTTAAAGATCCTCTCTTTACACTGCTTTGAGAAAAAGGTAAAAAGTAAACATGCATGCGTGTGTGTATGTATGTTAAATAGAATCCTTACAGTCGTCATTTCTTCACAGATGCCGTTTCTGCAGACTGTGGGGCTGCACTATTTGATCACGGGTCTAAAAAATTGAGCTTAAATGTGATGTTCATCTCATTTTACATACTGGGTAACAGCAGCTGTCCAAACAGCATCATGTGTGCTCGCCTGCTTACTCTTGTATTTAAATGTGTACTTAGCCTCCTCCACTGCCCAGTACACTGTCCTTTTCACTCCATGAGCTTTGTTCTACCTGTGTGGCTGGGGAGGATTATTTCCATGCCGCTTTCCTGTAGTGACTCCTCAGTAGAGACGTGTGAAGGAGGCACAGTGATGCTGCAAAACAGTATTTTATCTCACATGGTTCAACACCAGTTTTATTTACACCCAATATCTTCTCCTCGACGACAGAAAGATGGGCTCTAATCATGACTTGTTAAAAAAGTTTTGCCACATTTTGCCTGTTTCAGGCTCTTGTGGTGAGTTAGAATGCCTGACCCATTTTTGCTGTGCTTCAGGTGTTTGCTAATCTGCAAACTCTGGAATGAGATCATTTGAATGAAGGGTTAGGATTTCTTTTTGCAGCTGTGCAGTGCAGTGCAACACACAGATCTGCTCGGGATGTCCGTCTGACCAGGGATTTGTCCACAGAGCTGCGCATTCCAGAACAGAGGAGCTCACACTACTATAGAAATGAAGTGCTCATATTTATTTTCACAATAGCGGACATGTGCAGTGAATGGTCCTGGGAACGCTTCACTCCGTTTCTAACTGTAACTGGCATGGTCTTACAGATTTAGTATTGCTCTGATCAGCAGCTATTACTAAATGTGTTCCCTCTGAGAGGCAGGGCAGGTGCCTGTGCACACTCTTAACACATCGAACACGTTCCAGCGATTATCTTTGCTATGCCAAGTGCAATCAGCTTGTCTCATTCCTCCCCTGTGGGCTCACAGGCAGGCTACTCTGCACGTCAGTGCAGGGAACAAGCAGAACCTTGTGGCCAGAGCTGCGTGATGAAGAAGGCACCTTTGGGCCATTAGGGGTGTACACATCTCCCGTTAATGTGTTTTACTTTTACCTGCTGGGAGTTTAATTAAAAAACAAAGAGCCTCAATTTAAAGGCCATTATTATGCTAATGTAGTAAGCAAGGGATGGTGATTAAGCAGCTTTTAGAGCTGACTGGAGTTGGCCCTTGGGAGCAGAAGGATGGCACTTTTTATTTGCCTTCATTACTCCCCATGAATCTATGCTCCAAAGAGAAATGCTGATACAATAAAACAAGATCAGCCATTGAGATTATTCATACAAACAGTATAATTTCTATTACTTTTTCTTTCTCTTTACTATTCACTCAGGCTTAAAATCTGCTGTTATAGCAGTTAAATTGATGTACTTACTGTTTTAGGAATTTGCTTTTATCTTCCTAGCCTCTGCAAGTAATCACACCTTCAAATCAGCTTATTTTTAAATTGATATTTTTGTGGATAGTTCAACAATCAGCATCCTCCATTTGAAGAGGACAACAGATCCATCCACAACTTGATTTTTGTGGCACTGAAATGTTGAAAGGTTTTGCTCCTCCATGTGTAGCACAACATCTGGGGATCAAATGTTTTCTTCTATGGCTAAAACTCTTGATACAGTCGCTCAAAAGCAATTTCCACACACCGAGGAGTGTCACGGGAGGAGCTAAGAACTGGCTGAGCAACAGGTCAGAGATCCCTGCTGTGACAGAGCTGTTTGTTGTCTTTCCAGACAACAAGCAGAGCAAGAATCCAACTGAAAATCTGGATTACAAAAGTACCTTAAATAGAAGCTTCAAGTTTTAAAAAAATAATCTTGATCTAACATGCTATAAAATGCACAAAACATCACGTGTCCTGATAAACGTTAGATGTCATGACTATGGACCTGCATTTGGGGTTAAGGTATTGATATTCTTTGGATATAAATAAAATAAACTATTTAATAAAAGTCCTGTATTGAAAATTTAAGTGGAAAAAAATTATTTTAAGTAATCAGTGTATTTTATGTGTATTATGATTTGCAGTCGCAAATGCTTTACATTACAGTAAATTCTAAATAGGTATATAGTTAGTTAAATTTTTTAATTATGTTGCTGATAAAATTAAAAGACAACCCATAGAGGTTCATATATATATACTATATATATATAGTAGTTTGCAAATGTGCTGAATATTGCTCCTTTGTTGGTTAGTATCTTTTACTTTTTTGCTGAAACTATTATAATTCTTACACCTAAACCAGTTTTTATACTAATGGAAGCAAGTGAGACTCTGATTTTCAACATATATTTAGCTGATTATACTGACTGTATTATAAAAAATTTTCATCGAACTGTGAGGGGATCCTTCAAAACCAGAGTTTTACTTCTCTGCTTTTACAATAAATTGAAACCACGAGACATTCAGCTCAGCTGTGTTCCACTGTTGAGAAAGCACAGATTTGGGGAAAAATCAGTTGCTCGAGCCCATGACTTGTGTAACTGTCCTCATCCCTTACCTCTGCATGATTTTCATGGCTAGAGGTTCCGTCCTGAAGCGCAAGAGCCCATCTTCAAAGTAATAGCTTACAGCTGTTGCCCAGATAATCCTCATCATCCTCTCTGTCTTTGAAGGGATGCGGTGACATAATGGCCCGGGCTATTCTTCCCCCTTAAACTGTTGGTATTTTATTGTGTTGTTCGAATCCAAAAGGGGAGAAGGTGAGACTGTTGCATGTGGCATTATCAAAAGCCATAACTGGGCCCATTCTCTCCCCTCCTGGTGCCGATCACTGTGGCAGAAGCATTCAGTGTAATGTCTGTGGCTGAGGAATCACTTGCAGCATGTGGCGAGAGCTTAAGAAGTTGTCACACTTTAAGTTGCCCGTAATCTGTTCAAAGAGAGAGTGCGCAAGTCTCCAAATTGGAAATGGAGAGGCAGAAGAAAAGCCCATGTCCCTCAGCCGCACTTTGTGCTGCCAGTGCTCATCAGACATAACAACACTCTGTTGGCTTATTCTTACTCCAGACGTTTTTTTTTAAACCTATTTTCCTTATTGTTCAGATTCAGAGGTTATGTCCATTTTTGTACAGTGTTAAAGGCCTCCACGGTGTGATATGTCACAGAAAGGGAGAGACAAAGCATAGATGCTGTAAGAAAGAGTAGACAAGGGATTACAGGCATGTGAACACAAGATCAAAAAGAGGGACGTAATGATTCCTTTGGGACAGAGGTATGTGCTTAGATAGGCTTTTTTTTCTTCTTTGTCCATGTATGAGTCCTGTTCCAGGGAGGCCTGGGTAAATATTGACAGGTCTCTCTGCTTGAGATGCAACCATTGATCCACACAGGAGGGTCTCATCACTTGATCTGTGCGCTCAGGTGTGGGAGGAGAGGGAGCCGGGATGTGGGTCGACATGCTGGTGGTCCCCTTTGTGGCGTCTTGTCAATACAGACCAGCTCACCTCCGCAACACTGAGCGTCGTGTTACCAAAGGACCCCAATGTCCAGAAAGCTGCATTTAGGTGAAAACAAGTCTGTGGGATCAAATAGAAGGAGAGATTGGTAAATGATGTCCTGATTCCAGTCCCACACACAGCATCTCTGATATCCCCGTGGATCTTTACAGGGGCCAGTGTAGTCACTTCCACTAATGCTATCACCAGCTGCTGCTCATATGTTTTTCTATATATAAAAATCATAATTTACATCTCCTACTCTATCTCCCGTTGGCATGCGGGCCCGGCAGCCCGGACCTCAAACCACTAATCAGGTAATGTTGGGAGGTTGAATGGCGTACCTCCCCCTGGTCAACCTTCACTGCTCACACAGTGGTGTTGTTTTAAAGAGCATTCTTTAGCAGCTGAACTTGGAAAGGTATTAAAGTGGGATTAGGCTCCTCCACAATCCACTGCTTGTGTCATTCAGGGAGTTTGTGTTCTCCTCTCCCCACTGCCACCTCCCCACTCCTCCTCTGTTTGATTGTGGCTAGCCGCAGGAGTGGGACTGACTGTGCCTTTCAAAGGAGAGGGGTAGGGTTAAATCCCTAGTCCACTGCTCCCTGCTAATTCTCCTTGTTCCTTAGAGAAGGATTTACTTCTGCTGCCAGCTTCTCAAAGGCCTTCTCTGCCCATCCGAAAAGTCGGCGTTGCCTTCCTGTGGAGGTGTGGTTGCCATAGAAGGGGCGTCATGCATGGCTATTCCATCTGAGCCCCACTGAGAATGGGGACCGGGGACTGAAAACAGGCAGAAAGTCCGGATTAGACCCGAGGACAAAGCAGGACAGGAAGATTCCAGAAGGGACGAATAGGAATTACAGCAGCAAAAATAATGCAAAGTGACAGAGAGGGGAAATAGAAAAATAATAGCTTACAAGATTAGGCCCAGCGAGGAGAAAGAAGAAAGGAAAGAGGCCTGAATGAGAATGTTTTCATCTAGATGAGAAGATTTGAGAGACTGGTCGCAGGAGAATGCAGGATCCTGAACGTATCAAAACCGAGCTAATAAGTCATTTCCTCAACTTTTTACTCTCTTTCTGAGCCTAAGCCGACAATCATTAGCTAAACATTAGAGTGTGAGCTGGGAACTTGTCGTGACAGATTCATCACCTATTTTTCCTTTCTACCAGCATGTGCGACACTAATCCCTCTAAAAACTAGAGACAAGTCCCTGAATATCCCTTTCCTAACTTCCAGAATTAAGACAATGGGAGGTTCTTCTTTTTCCCCATCTTCATCTTTTAATTTAATTACCTACATGTTTCTTTTTCAGTGGACAAACTTGGTGGTTTGTTTAGAAGGCAAATCCAGGCTGGCAGGCGACTTTAACTAGAGCCCTGCTTGTTTGAGAAACATGCCAAAATTTCTTTTTCAAGGGATTATCCGTGAGGTTTTTCCATAGTTCAATAATAATCTTCTTAACTTATTGTAATAAATGAAAGATTAAAGGATTTTATGAACCTTGAGAATGCCAGTTCTGACATCTCTATTGTGTTGCTGCTGCGGGGTGAAAAAAAAAAAGAGGAGATGCTGAAACTGTCTTCTGCTGAAAGACAGGTTGTAATTCTCGTTACAGTGGATTGATACCAAGAAAGTTGTAAAAAAGCCTATTAATTCTTCTGATGTAATTAACACAACATAAAGTGCGGCGCTCCCGATTCAGATCGGTTGAGCAATTATTTTCGGAAGCTGCAGAGACAACAATAAACAGGCTTGTTTTCAGCCCGCATACAGCTGCTCATACACAGGCACTCGCACGTGTGAACACTTGTACAATATCAGCACTCAATCAGTACCTATAACCGCATTACCATAACAAAACCATCCTTTGGCTTGCCTCCACTCATATTTACACATTATATTCATCACGATCGTTCATCCCTGTCCCGAACCAGCAGATGATGTCAATTGCTCCTAACGCTGCCTCGCTGCCTTGCACAATGAAATAGATGTTCACCACAAATAGATAGGCGGCTGCCAGCTGTCTTCCAGACCAGGGTAAACAAAAGAGGCCGCTAATAAATCCAGCTTTACGGCTGGACAAGATCAACCGCACTCCCCTGCCTTCTTGCTCCATTTAATGTGGCTTCTTCCGAAACAACAGAGGTCGAATTAAATGCCCCTCCGTCACAGATAAAACAATGCAAACATCTTCCCCGAAAGGACATAAAAGAAGATGGAGGTGTTGTCAGGGAAATGGTGATAGAGGTAGTGTTACAGCACGGAGGCACAATATTAGGCACTAAGATGAGATATGAACAGTCACTAGCAATGAATCAGGCTCCTGATATGGTATCTGATGCATATAAAGTGCTGTGGATATGAAAGAAATGTGCAAATTGCCATCAGAGGCTTGATGGGGATCGTCAGGTTTGGTTATTACTGCCCTAAAACACAACCCTTCCCTCTCCCCTCGTTTTTTAGATGGTGGGGGGAGGAGTTGGGGTGCTGCCACTGACTGGGCTCACTTTGAAATGATGCGGGGAAAGGGCCCACCCTAGAAATTTTAACAGATGAGTTGTTGCCAAAAGAGTCACTTCTTTGACTGACCACAGGGTCAACGAGCCAACTTCAAAAACACTTTGATGGGCAGGCTAAAGCTTAGCTGAGCTGTGACCGCAGACAATTACACGGGGGGGGGGGGAAAGAAGAAGTTATAAATAGAAACGAATAGAGAACACAGGTGTGTTCACGTGGAATGAATCATGCTCCTCTTCCTCTGTAAGATGACGAATGTAGTTGCCGTAACTACAAAACATATTGTTAACCGTGGTCCTCTTTTTTTTTTGTCCTGCTCTGTAGGCTGTTTGCCACCAAGTGCAGCGGCTGCATGGAGAAGATCGCCCCCACGGAGTTCGTGATGCGGGCCCTGGAGTGCGTCTACCACCTGAACTGCTTCTGCTGCTGCGTGTGCGACCGGCAGCTGAGGAAGGGCGACGAGTTTGTCCTGAAGGAGGGTCAGCTGCTCTGCAAGGTGGACTACGAGCGGGAGAAGGACTTGCTGGGCTCGGTCAGCCCCGATGACTCAGACTCAGGTGAGCGCTCTGCACCCTCTCACACACCGGAGTGAGAACGGCACCATGGTGCCATCATCATCTGGCACCGGGGTGTTGTATTCTCCAGCCTCTGCTCCATGCCAGTGGCAGCCAACGCAACGCAGAGGTTCCTCCTTGGGAAGATACGAATTGCGTTTCGCCGGCTTTATTTTCACATTATTGCCGTTGAGCAAAACAAACAATCCGACTTGCCAGATCAGTCGCTGAGACATCTGAGACTTAGCCGGCACCCCGGGCTGTGAAAAACTTCCAAAACATCTGCAGCTTCTCAAAAGCTGATTTTTTTTTTCAGCATTCATTCTGGCGAGGAGCGTGGGCTTATAATACAGTAGGAAAGGGGAAGCGGCACCAGCCAAGCCGCTCTGTATTAATAGCTATCCATGCGTGGGCAGATTCTGGTGCTGGAAAGAATTAAAAACTGTATCATAGTGAGTGACAGAGGGATTTGGGGCCTTTCTGCAGAAGCCCGCGCCCCCCTCTCTTATCAGCTCTAGTGTTCCTCGCCTATAGACGGAGCACTTAACGAGGCATTGCGCCAAGCCCCACTGTTCACTACCATCTGGCTCACATTTAAATATGCTGGAAAGCGGGGAATTTGTCAAATACATCTGTGCCCGTGTCAACTTTTGTCAACTTGTGGGAATGTTTGCTCTGCGTCCCCCTCGTTCGCCGGCATCCCAGCGCATCGCTCAGGCACGTCTTTCGGTGCGTGATTCCAAATTTTAAAGATGGAGACAACGTCGACATGGGCAGAGGTTAACCTCGGCATGTGGAAGACGAAATGGAGGTTTTCAGGGGAAAATTGTAGAAACATATCAGAACCAGATGACAGGAGACAGTGAGCCATCACGTATGAGGCTCTCCTTTAAGCCACTGAAACGTTTAGGTTTGTTAACAGCGCTGTTGCTTCGGAATTGGAAACATTTGTTTTCATCATTTACAGAGAATGGCAATTCATATACCTTACAGATCCAAACATTGTGTATACTATTAAAGGCATATAATATTAAAGAGCAGACGTTAACTACTCGTTGGGCGTCAATCCACAGCTTCAAAACTCAGAAAATATTTAGAAATGTAAATGCAAGTGGGTTTAGTTAGAACTGAAAGTAAAGGGCTTGAATATGTGGGTACAGTTACCAAATTTTAATTGTAAAAATCCTTTAATTGTAGGATGATATAAAACACAGATTTTAAAAGCTCAAACTGTAATGTTCTGCAGATCACAAAAAAAATTTGAACTGTGTAGTTTCTGGAGTCATTTTGATTCATGGAATGGAGCGAGAGTTGAATTTTAGCCCAGCGTTACAGGAGAATGGCTTCCCACGTAAGCCCCTCTTCCTTTTTTCCGAGTCACATTTGATGTTTTATTCTTATCAGAGATTGATTTAGTGTAAACCAGACAAAGCTGAGGGTAATAAATTACTAATGACACTGTGTCCAGTGCAGTGACAAATGGGCATATTTCACGGAGCTCCACACAGACTTCAGTAAGTCTCATGTACATGTGGTCTTTTCCTTTTGTAATAAATTGATAACGAAGTATCAAAAACACATGTGTCTCCTTTGATTAGGCCGTTGTGCTGTGTGAATCCCCTGAAAACGGGGAGGAATGAAAATATATTTATCAGCAAACTGTCACCAACTGAAAGGGTGTAGTCAGTTCAAGCCTGTGCTGATGATCCCAAAAAAAAAACTCTTTCTGCAGAGAAAAGTGATGATGAGGAGTTGGACATCAAACCAGAGAAAGGCATTGGAAGCCAAGGGAAGGGTGATGACGGGAAGGATCCGAGGAGGCCCAAAAGACCACGCACCATCTTGACCACTCAGCAAAGACGGGCCTTCAAGGCTTCCTTTGAGGTGTCTTCAAAACCCTGCAGAAAGGTGAGGCGAAGCTTCAACAATCAGCTCCGACAAAGAGATGAATCATTTATTTTTATATTCCATGGTTTGGGGGTAATGGAGATTTAGATGTTGACTGCAAAGCCCCACAGTAGTTTGACAAATAAAATTCTCAAATTAAAAAAAAAAAAAAAAAAAATCCCCCCCTCCCCCCAGCTGAGCTTTGAAGTGGCGAGCGGCTTTTCTGTTCTGCGTTAGCTGAGACAGGCCGCTGTTACGCAGCCTGTGCAGAAAACACAGTCACAGGCAGAAGGGAGAGGTGCCCCAGTGGCCGGGGTCCTGAAGCAGGCCCTGCTCTCCATCCAGGGCTTTGAAGAGGCAAAATGTGGTCCTCAAAAAAAAAAAACACCTCTGCACCCAAATCCACACAAATCAAAGAGCCGGTGGGCCTGTTGGAAAATGTGGCAGATATGTTAAGGAGGCGAGGTCTGTGCGGGTGTAGTGGAGCTCTTATGTGATGCTGAAAGTATTTCGCCTGGATGTCTTCAGGTGAGGGAGACGCTGGCCGCGGAGACAGGACTCAGCGTCCGGGTGGTCCAGGTGTGGTTCCAGAACCAGAGAGCTAAGGTGAGAGCTGCCGATGCTGAGTTCATTCACTTTTCTGAAGAACATTTTTTTTTTTTTAATTCAAACACGGCTTCCTTTTATTCTGGAGCCCGCCACATAAATCAACTCCGGCTATGTGTGTTAAACTTATCGCCGCATTCCTTCCACAAATGCAAAGACCCGGGCTAGTTGCAAATCTGGCTCACTGTTGCATTTAATGTCTGCACCCTCCCCTTTTTCTGATGATTATCTGGCCAAACCTTTGATATTTGACAACGAGGTGCACTCAGACACAGGTTCCATGCGGTTCACTCAGGGGTGAACAGCGAGGAGCATCCTTTTTAAATTAAAGACAGCATGTTAGCTTTGGGAGTTCCTCACAACATCGACTCCTTCGTTTCAGATGAAGAAGCTGGCAAGAAGACAGCAGCAGCAACAGGAACAGCAGAATTCTCAAAGGCTCGGCCAAGGTACGGCACCACACATGCCCAGCTAACACAGCAGAGGCCCATAAGTGTGACGTGGAAACGCAGATTCTGGATGTTTCATTCGGAGATAGAAAACTGTTATTGCGCTCATGTTTATGGCGTTGTATACCCTCTTCAGTGTCATCAAGCATGAGGTCTGAACATTTCCTCTCCAGAAATGCCAGCTTCCTCTCCTTGAGCCATGCTGCCCTGCAAACACATTTCTGTTCTGCTGTTGAGCCGATAGCCTCAGAATATTATAACGGCTAGACATGAGCACTTCAGGATTAAGTGGCAAATTCTCTTTTTCAAGCTGAATAAAATGACTGACAGACACTGATTTGCAAAATGGAAGCGCAAGGGGGGGGATGGGCTTCGGTGACAAAGCTGCGAGAGCTTTGTGTCTCTCTCGCCAGTAAGTAAGAGCAGTGTTTGCAAAGGGAATTGTGGGAGAAGCCACTGAGAGAACTACTGTAGGTTACCATGGAAATGCCACCAGAGAGACACACAAGCGAGTGTAGATGTTCGAAGCGCACGGGCAGGGAGAAGCACATCCCTTAACGCTCGTAGTTCTCCCCTCACACCGGAATGTTTTTCGCACCGTCTTGCAGAGGTTATGTCTAATCGGATGGAGGGGATGATGAACTCCTTCACACCGCTGGCTCCGCCACAGCAGCAGCTGGTGGCCATGGACCAGAATGGCTACAGCACAGACCCCTTCCAGCAGGGGCTCACCCCTCCACAGATGCCCGGGGATCATATGAACCCATATGGTGAGCATTCGCCCCCCCTCCTACGCACACATGCGAACGGAAAACTCACGTTCCGTCCCTTGATCAGCATGCTGAGTGTGGGACATGTGCCGCGGCTGTGGCTCCCTGATTTAGGCTGCTCTCGGAGGAGAACCAGCAGTTTCTCCTCCCATATGAGATAACACAAGTGTTGTCATGAGCTGTTGCGTTTTGAAGTACATTTTTTAAAATCTGTTCGGTTTGGTTGAACTCCTCGCATCTGCTTCTAAGACCTTCCCTGGTACTGATTAAATCTTCTAACGTTGGTAACATGTGGCCTGCGTGAATGGCTTGAGATAAACTGTAGTCCAAAGAGTGATTGAAGACTCTGTTAGCTAATTAATCAAAATGGGAAAACAACAAGTGTACAATGTCTCTTTGAGGCCTTAAAGAATTAAAATGCAAACAGGGAAGGTGGGGGCGGGGGGATCAGTCAATCAAGTGTTAGGCCACAGGATGTAACTGGAATAACACATTTCTTAGTGATGTCCTCAACATGTCCCAGAGGGACAATTTCCTGAAGTTCATAACTTCCTTATAATTTGCTTCCATTTAGTTCTTCTCAGTAGTAAGAAACCAAATCCCCCGTCTCATCACTCTCCTTTGGTTTGGGGAACAGAACAATATTGGCAAGGCATTAAAAGATATGTCTCAAAACCCTGTCCCCATTTTGTGCAACACTATCATTAAGATCTAGAGTGTAATAAAGTTAACTATTCCCCCCAGAGAAATAACACATTGAGGTTTTATGAAAGGCGTAAACAGTTGCTATTAACCAGATCTTTTAGAAGGATGCCCCTTGTTTACATGTTCCCTCACAGACCACAATTGTCCCAGCGAGGGCAGCAAAAAGTGAGCTTTGATGATATCTAACAAAAGTGTTCTCACAATTGTGATGACATACAACAGCGATTTCTCAAAGTGACTATTAGTAATTATAATTTCCCAACCCCACCGTAAATCTCAAATACAAGACTGAGCTGATTTACGCAGAGTGTAGGGTTTTTTTATATTTTGAACCAGCCCTCCCTCTGCCCCAAATCCTGAAGAGCTTCCTTCTTTCCTCTCCTCAGGTAACGATTCTGCATTCCATGACATAGACAGCGACACGTCTTTAACCAGCCTCAGCGACTGTTTCATGGCCTCGTCGGAAGTCAACATGCAGGCCCGCGTGGGAAACCCCATCGACCGCCTCTACTCCATGCAGAACTCTTACTTTGCCTCATGAAAAGAGCGTTGTGAAAAGCATCAGCACAGAATAAACTGCCCATCTCAACCTTAGAGCAATGGCCAGGAGTTTCTACACAACAATGGACACAACAGAAGAAGAAACACCCTCTCGTAGATCCTCCTGGTTGTGTGTGGAAGCTTACTTAAAGATAGTGAAACCACTTGTTGTAGGAGAGTGAAGAATAGCGTGGAGGAGGACTTAAATATTGTTAGGAATTATTTGGTAGAATTTGTTATTTTGTCACAGGAGATAGTATTCTTTTATCTGCTCACTTAAAGAAAACAAGTAGATATTGAAGCCACTGATGACACACTCTCAAGCCAAATAACACAGTGAGTTTATACGGTGCATGATCAATTGTAAACTGAAACTTTTTGTAAGCCCCACCCTCGGTTAAGATGTGGTGTCTGAACTGTTTCTACTTCACACCACATGGACTTCCATGTTCACCCTTAGCATTTTGATCACTTGCCATAGGTTTAGATATCGTGCTAATAGTAAATAGGTGCAGCATGTCTGCAAGAGTGACTGTACAATTGTGTATGTATGAGAGTTTGTGACGAGAAAGAATTGTTTCGAGGAGAAAAAAAGTGGAGAATTAGGTGGACGAGTGGGATCAGTGAACTGTACATACTTTCCCCAGGCAAATTGGATGTGCATGTTAAAATGGAAAGCATTCTATTTATTTAACTATAACAGGCTCTTGAAGGTACATATTAAAAGTGAAAAGCTTTATTTAAAAAAGAAGAGCATTTTGTGTTGAGCAGTTAGTGAGTTCATGAGTATCATAACTCATCTCTATACCTTTTTAATATGAATTTTAATCCTTTTGTTTTGTTTTCCTTCAGCCAAGCTGTAAATGAGCAAATTTGCTATTTATTTCGTACAAACCATACACCTTTTGTTGTCCTTGTCTGATGTGCATTCTTAAAATGTTAAAGTTGCTAACTGACCAAAGTTGACTGGTGTGATGAATAAACAATGTCTTTCTCCTGATAACATTAAATAAATACCATCAGTGACCATTTACATAATAATATTTCCAGTCATGCATTATGGGCTTGGGTGAAAGGTCCCATTATCATGCTGCTGGATTCTTTTATAAAGCACTTGGTACAAATATTTAAGGTCCCAAAAAGGTGACTTTTAGTCATTCTGGTGATTACATTAGACTATCTCTGGAAGAAACACAATTTAATCCCAATTTAATTACTATGCTGTCATTATAGTATCTATAATTTCTATATAATGTCTATATTTTTGTCCTGAGCTTGTAAGAATATAAGTATCACTGTCCCTTAAAGGGCCACGTGTATTTTCTCTCTACAGTGAATTAGCGTAAGGGCGAGAAAATGTTCCTGCTCCAGTGTATGACATATTTGTATGGGATTGAGAACAGGGAGACAGAAACATACACAGGAGGAGTATTATGTCGGGGAAGTTCAGGTGACATACCATTGCAGCTGCACAAGCGGAGAGCGAGCCCCGCCTATAACCTCTGGGCTTGTTTGGCGGTTGCTTGAAAGTACCACCTGGAACCTTCATCTCTCTGAAAGCCCGTCAATGTATCCTGGCAAGCCTCCACCCACTGGCTGCGTAATCACCTGACGCTCTCATCAACAATGCAGTCATGCCACTCTGTGCAACTGTGACTCAGTTTATTCCCAACAGCATAATCTGGACGCCATCCCTGAGACTACTGCTCAGTTATTCAATACACGTACATGAACGAGTCTGACACCAGGATGATAGATAGATAGATAGATAGATAGATAGATAGATAGATAGATAGAT